TTATTTGAAATCCCTTTTTTTCCCACTCAGCATATTCACAGCTTGTTAATATTTAGCATCCATGTGGGCCTTGGTGTGCAGCTTTAAAGGTGGCTCTGTGGAGGCACAGCACAGCTTTGGGTTGTCTTGCTGTCTCTGCCTAGCATTTTCAGGCCTTTCACCTATAGCTATTTCTCTTCTACTTGCTGTGGAATTGCTTAGACCTGTAAGACCTGGCCCATGTGGAGGTGGATCCCCCTAATGCATAATTTACCTACCCAAGGCAACTTGAGACTGCATAGCACAGGGCAACTCCTGAGCCTGTGGATGAGCTGCGTAATCCAAGCCCAGCCCCTCATAGTTCCCTCTTTGGCTGTGATGTAGAATGGAAATTGGGATAGCTAATTAAGTGCTTACCACCTTGGCCAAGTACTTTAAAGTCTTAGGGACCACACACGTGTACTCTGTAGTGCATGGGGAACTCAGAGGCCTTGCAGTTGAAAAGCAGCCCACACTGTTGGCACAACAATACCTACGGACATCCCATCCTCCTTCAGCCTAACTGACTTGCCTCCAGAGTAATAGAACATGCAGTTCCGGGTCAAGGCTGCCTCTGAGAAACATACTTCATGGAGGATCAAACATACAGAAGGTGTATTCTGCAGTCAGCCTGGGGCTCAAGAGGAAAGCAGGTGGGGGAGGTGCGGGGAGCAAGGCTGCACATGCTCAGGATCTCTTTCCAAACTCACAGATCAGATTCAGGTATTCCTTCTCTCCTGGAGAAGAGTGTGACCTGTGATAGATATCCCCCAGGAAGAAGAAGCATGAGGAGAGCAGCATTCCCTCCCACCCACCCAGTTAACAGGCAGATGCTTGATCAGATGTGCTCTCACCACRATTCTCGTTTTCCTCAAGAGACCATTGGGTGAGTGATGGCAGCTTCTTCCTTAAATGGAGAAGTTCCAGTATGAAATAAATAAGCAAATCAGCAAAAATAAAGCCGGAAGCAGTAGAGGCTGCCAGTGCAATTTAATTTGAAGAACCTCACAGAAAAATTTAATATGCTTTTGCCTCTTAGCCTTTAATAAGTGAAAAAGAAAATATGATAAGTTTCTCTGAATCAGATGTGTGTAGTGGAAAAAACAAAAACTGGATATTGGATTCTGGTTCCACTGCTTGCTGGTTGTGTTCCCAGGGGAGGTCACTCCACCAACTCCAAAGCATCTGAGCCAGCACTTGGTACATAGTAGACAGTCGACTCCTGGTAGTTAGTATCACCTTTACTACTCTGGAGCCAGGCACTGCAGAGCAGCCTATGCTGCAGATCCCCTGAGCTACCTCTGGCTGGGTGACCAGGAAGACTTCCCCAACCAGCCTCTCGTGCTATGAACCCATACTGTGCCTCTTTTTCCTTACACAGGCTGGAACACAACGAATGGGATTCTTCCCGGACTCCTATCATTGGCTCATGTGGCACTCAGGAGCAGTCATTCTTAATAGATATCACGAGCAACAGCTGTCGAAGGGTAAGAAGGGACAATGCAGAGAGGGTGTGCTCTCAGGGCTGCCAGTGTTGAGGGTCCAGAGTCAAGCAGAGAGTATATAGAAGACTAGCCACTGAGCAGGTGACGTCTYTAAGAGTAGAGGATACAGAAGACTTAGAGGACCCTGGTGGAATTTGCCAACTTGCATGATTAAAGGGGAAGGGAAAAACATAGCCCTTTATGATGAAACTCTCTGACTGTCAGGTTTTTCTTTCAGACTCGGAGTGGTGCTGGATGGAAGCGGGTCCTGCGGTCACTCTGTCATTCACGAACCAGAGTGCCACTGTTGGCAGCCATCTACTTTCTGATGATTCATGTTCTACTTGTTCTGTGTTTCACAGGACACCTATAAACTTAGTTGTCACTTTTTGGACCATACCCCTCAGAACTTGGAAGTCTCTCACCTCTATTGCCATAATTATCTATTCCAGTGGAACAGTCTTCCCATTTACAGATCATCTCTCTGCCTCTCCAAGAAAAGTGCCTGCAAAAACAGAGGTGGAATGAGGACAGGTTGGAACTTCGGGGACTGGAGAGTCTGCTTTCTTCTACTGCCCAGGGCCCAAACACTCTGCTTAATCAGAGACGCCTCACAGTTGGTTGGTTCAGAGTTTTGCAGGTCCTGATGTTCTATGGTCCTATGAGATACTGAGACATGTCTTTCAACSAAGTCAAGAGAATGGTCCTAATAAACCTGATAATTTGAATTTCAATATTATTTTGATTGATAGCTCTTTTTGTTTCATTGGTCTATATTTTCTCCTGCTTCAGGGGGAAAGTAAACAGTTCTAGGGAATAAACAAATAGCCTCATAGACATGTGATTAGATGTCTTGCTGAATAGGATGGGAGCTGAAGAACTCCTCAGGGACTTAWCATGGGGAAGGGGACAGCATCTTTTCCCCTGACTGTTCTTCCACTGGAGGGAAAGTTGTGGTCCTGGACTATAAGGACAGCACCCATTGTCTATGCCCTTGATCACACGTAGACTAACTGACTGGCCTCCATAGTAATGTATTTCTACACTGTATTAAGTGGCCGATACCTTTCCCTGAAAGGCAAGAAGAACTGGCTGTGGACAACAGTGTTCAGATTCTTATCATTCCAGTTACTCGTATGTGCTTCAGTTATGGACCCTGAGATATGCCCAGGGGCCAGCAGGGGCCAGTGCAGGGTGGGACATTGACTTCCAGCCCAGGGGTGACTAGCTGCACCTCTTGAAGCACTCAACTCCAGTGCTCYTGGCAACAGTTATTCCAGTTTCCCAGCCCCATACTCACCTACCTCTGTGGACCAGAGGGCTAAGGAAAGAGGAAAGAGAATATAGAGAGACAAAATATTTAAAACCAGACCTAAGAACGACAGCCAGGGGAAATTCCATCTGTGCCTGTTCTCTACCACCTCTCTCTCCTCACACACCCTCACCAGTTTGTGGTTCTCTTATTATATTCAAGGTATTTCCCCTGCCTATTCTCCCTACCTATTGGAAGAGAGGAGACTGGAGGGATCACTAATCTGTTCACAATCTTTGCTCTGTGGTGATTAAATCTTGGTCACAGCATCCCAGGAACTTTTCCTGAATAATTGTAAAATAAAATTATTTTCAGACTGAGTAGTTTTGTGTGTGCATGTGAATGTATGAACATGGTTGTTTATATACCTAGTGTTTGTACACTGGGAATGGGGGAAGGAAGAGAGGGGAAGAAGGAATGGGCTGCATAGAAATGTCTACAAGTCTAAAAAGCTCTACCTWCTCAGGCTTCCTCCTCACTGACCAACATCAGTAATGGCTGAAAGCATCCTTCTAGCCTTAGCTGCTGGACCCCAGTCCTAATACCAAGAAAGCTAGGTCTTAGGATATTGAATTCATTAGACTGTTCATGTTCTATACTGTCTTAGAAGAACTCTTGAAAACATTAGGCCCCTAGAGATGCCTCTGGGTGGAAGTAGYGGGAGGAGAGTTTAATAGCACAAAGCAGGTCAGATGGGCATATTATCATGTTTTTATATAAAGTTGCTACTTGGGAAAAGCTAGACCCCTTTCTAAAGATACATTAGCTAGGCTAATGGAGCCTAGTGTATCTGGTTTCAAAGCCCACGCTACTTCTGCCTGCATCTCACTACATCATCARGAATGACCTTGAGACATTTGCAGAGGGGTATGGGTTTTCTTGTGTCATCTGTAAGTTCTGTGGTTTCTTCAGAGAACTGTGTTCCTATATGTTGTGTCAAATATCTGGTCTGTTAGTTCCAATTATGATASTACATTGGGATTCCAAATGAAATGAAAGTTTTTCCCTTTCTACAAACTTACTCTTCCTTAAAATAGTTTCCATGCCCCCACGATAAATACGAGAGAACAAATGAATAAAACTACCCAGATCTCAGATTGGGAAGTGACTTTAGAAACTTTCTGYCCCTTATTCAGAGATGCCCTTTTCTCTATGGTGGACCAATTCCAGTCCTGCTTGGGCCCTTTGGGGAGTCCATGACCTGTGAGCAAGTTTAGGAGAGGCTAGATTGGATACAATAATAAACAACCGCCACTTCTCGGTGGTTAAACAACAAAGGGTTATTTTTTGAAGACTCCAAGTCCCACAATGATTGGGGCTCTACTCATGTTGTCATTGTCAGCCACCCCCACCCCCACCCCCCAGCTGCCCWAGAAGACACTCTGGGGAATTGTAGATTGCCTTGACAGGCAATGAGAGAAAAAAACATAGCAAAACTTTCAGTGATCTTGAAGTAGAAAAGGATACACTTCATTAGAACAAGTTACCTGAGCAAGTGTGACTTCAAGAGGAAAAGGAAGGACAGCTGATCTGGATGCACAGTCCTACCATCAGATGATACCACCTGGTTCTTTCAGAATTCTCTCTGAAACCAAATCCTCCTGGTGAGCTCTGACTCCACACAGCCCCCCAAACAACCAGGAATCTTTCTCCCTCCATGCTTTGACTTGCCCCTCATTAGTTATTCTCTCCTGTCAATTGATGAATTCTTATTTAGACATGGACTATATGTAGGTCTCATTTTGAAGTGCTGTGGGTAATGCAGAAGTGAATTATTTTTTAAATCTTAACTCTTCAAAATCTACATATAAATCACTTTTCCTTTAGGGCTTTCTTGGTTACTACAGCCTACATCAAATGCTCTGAATTCTTTTACTACTGCAAATGCAGCTGCCCACCTATGCAGGACAAATGCTGATCTATGACATTCCCTGATGGGTTTTCCAGCTCAATGTCTGTTTCTATGATGAGATTACAAACTTGGAATGAAAACAGCATTTTTTGTGATTGCCTCATGATCCTCAAAACCTTGCAAAAGAATAAAGCATTTAACCCTTTTAATTTAAGTGCCTAAAGCAGAAGGAACTGACTCAAACTTCAGGAAGTAGCTGTGAGGACAGGGTGACAGGAAATGACAGGAAACCTGAATACGGAACTGAAGCAGCCACTCAGTTTCTTACCCTGAAGCTATAGCATTCAGACAGGGCGTCTGGTGTGGACTGTGGACGTGAGGAGCCCGGAGCTCAGATCTTTCACTTGCGCTGGTAGAGGTGGGTATTCTGAGCGAATGGTGGGAGACTTGGGGAACACAGGGCAAGAATGGAAGATGAATCTACCTGGTGCTCAGTTCTTCCTTGAGGGACAAGGTTACTGTTAAACTTTGATGGCCAGAAGGCCTGGGTGCACTGGTGGTGGAGAATGAGCACCTGGGTGTGCAAAGAGAAGGGAAAGGTTTCAGCCCAGGAAGCAGATTTCAGGAGCCAATAAGACCCAGACCCAGCAAAGTGTTTCTGCTGACAATCCACAGCCACCCTAAGGGCTGCAGCTCCTAGAAACTGAGTTGGGAGGGGGAACCACAGGTGATGGAGACAAAGACTGTACTCGAAGAGTCCATGGTTTAGTGGGTAGACGAAACCCACAGAGGAAACGTAACAGATCAGGAAGTAGTCACTAGTGCACACTAGTGCTGAGAACCGAGTGCTGATGGGGCCAAGTGCAGGGTGACTGATCAGCTGGGGCTGGTTTCTATGATTATGATCCCAGAACCCCAGAGTGTCAGAAACAAAGGGGACTTTACAGATTACCTAGGTTAAACCCTGGGTTTATTTTCCTTTGGAGGAAATCAGAAATAATCCGTTGTTTGCCAGATTATTTAAGATTCTATCTGTGAATTTCCTAGTCCAGCCCCCTGTACGTCCTCTATGGCGATTCCCTGCCATTGTGCTTCACTGATGCTACTGTAAGAGCCTCACGGTGAAGCTTCGACYGTGCCTGGGCTCCACGTCTCACCAGCTCACCCTAGTCTCCCACTTCTATATAGCAACTCTTATCTTTCTGATTTCTGGGCAGTAGGGAAAGGATATTAAGTTGTCTCTGTATCAGAAACTTTATTTCAATGGAGCTGAGGGTGTGGCTCAGTCGTAGAGCACTGGCCTAGCATGAGTGAGGCACTAGGTTCAATCCTCAGTGCACATAAAAACACATACATACATACATACATAAGTAAAGGTTTTGTGTGCATCTACAACCAAAAAGTAAAAAAAATGGGTGAAGGTGGGAGGGTGATGAGAGTCAGGGTGAGGCCTCAGAGGAACAGCTGGAAAGAGGAGGAGACCATCGGTCCTCACTGCTTCCTTATTACTCATGAATATTTCAGAGACTTCTCCTTTCGGTTTTCTATGTGAGGTCCTTTTGTTGCAGAGCAGCCCAGGAATCAGCCATAGGAATTATAAGAATGTAGGATGACGGGTCTTTACCTGTCCCCACCCCCCATCCACAGCTGTTGGACAGCCGAGCTGCTCTTTGTGGTAACACATCCCGAAGCTAGGATGACTCATTCTCTCATCTCCAGTCTCCCCTGTGGCAATGCTATAGCCACACTATCTGGAATTTCCCCTGAGCAGGTTTTCAAAGAGAAGGATGATGTTTCCAAGTGGACACAGAAGCTGGAGAGTCTGAAGGTGGAGGTGGAGAGACAGGAGAGCTCTAGGAGTGGTCAGTTGTAAAGGGAGACAGTGAAGAGGCGYGGGGGAGGCCRYCAGTGGGAAGAGGTGTCTGAAAAGGGAAGGATGGGCAGGGAAGTTGCCAGCTAACAAGAGGGTCAAGAAACCTCAGTGGCCACCAGAGCAGATGGACGTTGTCTATTATGACCTCTTCACACCGAGATCCAGGAGCCCACAAATGCACAGCAACTCTAGCTCTTCCTCCAGCACAGTTGGCAAGGCTCAAGGGAACACTGGGGCTGCCCCCGCAGAACAACACCTTGGAATCCTTTCAAACTGGTCTTCTCCAGATTATTTCTTTCATGGTTATTTAGCTGATAAAAATCAAATATCTCCTAATGTTTTAAGATAAAGGATTTATTACATGCTAATTTTGAATCCCTTATATTCTTTAGAAATATTATCAAACTTTTTAAAAAACTGAGTAGTAAAGATTTATTCCCAGTAAATAGTGCTTCCCCATGCATTGTTCAATACAGGAATTCCAGCTGCTTGTCCCTTCTGACTACCCACAGCTGTGCAGTGACCAGTCTCAGCGCAGCTCTTGCATTGATGGTAGAAAAAAATATTCTCAAAATAATTAATTAATCAGGTTGTAGACAATAGAAGATTTTCATTTCTCCGGGAGGGAGCTGGACTAGTTTATATTTGGGTCGTGTGAAAGGAGTCATGTAGATATCAGAGTGAAATGGCAGCATACTTTGATGGATGTCATAGCTTCCCTCACTGATTACCACTCTGTAAGCCACTGCCTGGCTGACCTCTGGACACAAGTGAAGAGTCCAGCTGTTTTTGTACGCAGGACATTTAATGTTACCTACACCCATGAGAATTTCTCTCCAGAGAAGGTGAGCCCAAGCCACATTAGCTTGTCTTAAATAAACCCCATCTCCTCTACCTGCACATAAGTACCTTCCTAAAACTTTCATCTGCTTTGTCTTAGCTCCTATTTTCTTCTAGGAAAAAAATGGCAGGAAACATTGGGATTTTTTTTAAATGTTTATTTTTTTAGTTCTAGTTGGACATAATGCCTTTATTTTATTTTTATTTGGTGCTGAGGATTAAACCCAGAGCCTCATATGTGCTAGGCGAGCACTCTACTGCTGAGCCACAYAACCCCAGCTCCAACATTGAGCTTTTTAAAACTTTTTAAAAATTTGTTCTTTCTAGATATACATGACAGTAGAGTATTTTTTGATATATTATACATACATACAATAAGTATACCTTGTTCCAACTAGGATCCCATTATTGTGGTTAATATATGATGCTGAGTTACACTGGTTATGTAAGACATAAGTTCCAGCTTAGGTCTGTGTATAAGGAGAGGAAAGATAATGCCCAATTCATTCTATTGTCTTTCCTATTCCCATCCCCCTCCCATCCTTTCATTCCCCTTTGTCTAGTCCAATGAACTTCTAGTCTTCCCCTCCCTTGTTGTAAGTTAGCATCCACATATTAGAGAGAACACTCTGCCTTTGATTTTTTAAATTTTTTTAAAAATATTTATTTTTTTAGGTATAGATGGACACAACACCATGCCTTTATTTTTTATGTGGTACTGTGGATCGAACCCGGGTCCCACCTGTTCTAGGTGAGCACTCTAAGGCTGAGCCACAATCCCAGCCCCTCTGCCTTTGATTTTTGGGGGACTGGCTTATTTCACTTAGCATGATAGTCTCCAGTTTCATCCACTTACCGGCAAATGCCATAATTTCATTCTTCTTTATGGCTGAGTAATATTTCATTGTGTATATACACCACATTTTCTTTATCCATTCATCTGTTTAGGGCACCTAGGTTAGTGGGCTGTTTAATATCGGCTTTTTGTTTTTCCTTCTTCTGATTCTTTTTTGTCCTCAATTATTCCCATTTTCTGTCACCTTCAGATGTGGAAGTCTGTAGTGGGTCATGATGTATCTGTTTCCGTGGAGACCCAGGGTGATGACTGGGACACAGACCCTGACTTTGTGGTGAGTTTGAAAGTCKTTTTTCTTGAACGATGAGGAGCGTGAGGGATGAGCATGCATGTGAGCCACTCTCCGACCTTGGAGGAGACTTAGAAAAGGACGATGTGGGACTGAGTCTCACAGTGGGAAGGATCAGTGGGACAGTGGGTGGATGAGTAGGGCATGTCTGATRGCTGGTGTGAAGGGTGGAAGGAGACAGGTGTGAATGGGTTTCGAAGTGAGGTTGATGGGCCAAGCTAAAGTTGAGGAGCAGGTAGACCTGGTCTCCTTTGGCCTAGGATCTAGGATTTGGGCTAGAACCGTGTGATACAGGTGGGTTGGGATGTTGTAGGAGACTTAAGAAGAACAGGCAAAGGAGGCAGAGTAGGAATAAAGGTTTCAGAGCTCAACAGTTTTAATTTTACATGGGGCCAGACGTAGTAGGGATACCCTGACTGAAGAAGGCGGCGGATACAGGGAACTGGGAGGTCTGTGTAGCAGTGTGTGTGGGTCCCCTCTTGGCATGGCACATTTCCCACCAACACTTCTGTTGAATGCTCTTTTGTAGAATGACATCTCTGAGAAGGAGCAACGATGGGGAGCCAAGACCATTGAGGGCTCTGGACGCAAAGAGCACATCAAGTAGGTGCCAAAAGGACTGGGAGAGGGAAGGGGATTTTGTGAAGAGCTCAAAGCAATCTCAGTAACTCCGGGGAATATGTGGGAGGGAAAAAAAATAGTTCATGTGTGTTTTGTTGTTGTTGTTGTTAATTTTGTTTATTTATTTTTTGTAGTAGTGGGGATTAGAACCCAGGGCTTTGCATATTTTAGGCAAGAGCTCTGCCACTGACCTACATTCCAGCCCTTTTTTTAAAATTTTAATTTTGAGACAGGTTCTTGCTAAGTGTCCAAGGCTGGTCTTGAACTTGTGATCCTCCTCCATCAGCCTCCCAATAGCTGGGATTACAGTCATGCACCACTGCTCCAGCTTATGTCTGTGTATATTTGGGTTTTTTGGATTTTGGGGTTTTTTTTGTTGTTATTGTTTGTTTTTTGGGGTTTTTTTTGTAGATTCTGTCTTTGTGTGTCTCTATATGTGTCACTGTGTATTTCATTTCTTTCCTCTTGTCCCCCGACCTTATAAATAGTCTTTTATACCTAAGACCCTGCTACTTCCTCCAGGGGAGTCTGTTGTAGTAACAGCCTTCCTTCAGTCAGGCATCAGGGATTCAGAGAGGAAGTGTCTGTCTACCTACCTACTACCCATTAGGTATCTAGTTATCACCCATCTGTCTCTTCACATAAATATAAATGTGTACTTAGAATAGAGGGTGAGTTCAGATGGACTAAGAAGGAGTCTGTAAAAATGTCAAGGTGAAGAATTCAAAATAAATTTAAAAAGACAATATGAGCTTCCATCGTTGGCCCAAATGACTTAAAGTACACATTTGTACTTGTGAGAAGCCTCATGTTTAGTAACACAAGGAAGTGTGATAGGAAAATGTAATGATTAAAACTATTTTAGCAATGACCTTTTACGGATTGTGATAGCCTAACATTCACTTTTACTAGCAAGATACCAGAAGAGAGAAGGAACGTGGGGACATATCCAGAGGCTCCTGTGGGATGTATTGTGTATTAGGATTGAGAGAGCCCCTCTCTTCATGGATTATTCAGATCTGTCTAACCAGGACTGTCGGCTTTGGGTAGGAATAGAGTGTCCAAAGCCAGTGGCAAAGTAAACACAACAAAGAGCATAACAAGAGCAACAATAGAAAGAACCAATAACTACATACAAAATGGAAAAATTAATTTTGTCAGCTCCATTTTAATCCCCCCCAATCTAGTAGCAATGTTTTAACCTCATTTCCCCTAGATTTAGAAAAGTGTGAACATTTGTCTAGCATGCACAAGGCCCAGGGTTCAATTCCCAGCACTGAAAAACAAAAAATGTCAGTGGATGACTTTGTTACTCAAGCAATACACTAAGAAAACTTGGCACTTGTTTATGTGGTTTGAGAATATTCAGTACTGTGCATGGTTGTTTAATCAGACATAAATGGTTTGAATTACAAAGCTATAATGAATGTCATTCTTAAACAAACCAGACAATTCTGGAAGCAGCTGGAGCTTCACTGAATACATCACTTTGTCTGACGTCCACTGAAGTCATACAATGTGGTAACCATGCATATGTCTTGTTTACCTAGATGGATCTATACCTAATGCAATAAATGTTAGATATATTTCCACAAAAGATGACTCACCTCCCATTTATCCAGGCTACCAAGTTACAAAAGCCTGATCTTTGTTGGTAACAGGCCTGGTGACTCTCTCTTATTCTCTCTGATAGTCAGAGACCTCATTTGGACCAAAAAAGACTTCTAGATGACATTCCAGTATTCAGTGCCTAACCCTCTGGTTCTCTGTGGCTGATGTGCTCTACACCAACCTTCACTGTCTGATGGGAATCACTGAGGCCTTTGGAGCTGGGGGATTGGGGGGTTCAGTCCAAGAGTAACTGTGTGCTTACATGACTCAAAGCAGGAAGAGGAAGTGGCTGGTTCTCACCATCTCACCACCATCTCCCACGCCACGGTGTTTCTATTTAGGTCTGTCTTCAATAACTTTAGTTTGAGAAGTGGTTTGGTAATTCAGAAAATAGCTCAAATGCTCCTCTCTGTCCCCCAACTTTTGTATAAAGAAACTGCCTGATTTCCAAAGTCTGTGGCCCTTTCCACCTTCCTCTCCACCCTTGCCCACTAATCTATTTTGGTGTCTCTTCTCTTGATCACTAAGGATTCTCACTACTCCCAGACAAGAGTTTCTTAGACTATCTTTGGGAAAGAACCAGGTTTTTAGTCTGCTCTTGTTTTCAAATTTGTCACAGACTGATATTTTTGTAAAATGAAAAAAATGACATGAAGAAAAAAAGTACGATTTTTTAAATTTTTATTTTTTTAGCTGTAGTTGGATAGAATACCTTTATTCCATTCATTTATTTTTATGTGGTGCTGAGGATCAAACACAGGGCCCCGGGCCTACTAGGGGAGCGCTCTACCACTGAGCCACAATCCCAGCCTTAAAAAAAAAGCACAATTTTAATTTTTAGATTTGATAAATCGAATTGCTATGTTAAATTGCTATGAAAGTTTCTAAATACATACTCCCAATTTTTATTCTTATTTCATTGTGGAAGAGAAGTGGTTGGGTTTGTGCACTGCACCCTGAGCAGCCCGACATCAGACGTGGCTCCCGGTGCTTCCTGAGACCTGTCTGGCCGTCAGGTCACATCCTCACTGCCTCGGGAGCACTGTCCACTTTGTCACGCCCTGACGTTTTATTCCAAGTGGCAACGTAGAATGATGCGGTACCAAGAGTATTAAACAAGCAGCCTGAAGATCTAGGGACTGTTCCCTGCTCTGCTACCAAGGGACTCAGGGCATTGAAGAGAATTGTGTCACCACTCTGTCTCTATTCCCTCTTGTGACTGGGAATAATAGACCATCCCTGTTTACCTCACAGGAATGCTATGAAGAGCCACAGCTATGGCCTAAGAATCATGGCAACACTTATTAACTGTTATGTGTCATGCAAAATGCGTTTCCCAAACAACACTATATCATAGATCATGCTGTTATCCTGATTTCACAGAAAAGTAAATAGAGAGGTTTAGATGTTTAGTAATTTGTCCAAGGATGTACAAATAATAATTCGAATTCATCTCAGTCTGACTTTGTGGGCTGAATTTTGTTGTTGTTGTTGTTCAAGGGACTGAACCAGAGGCACTTTATCACTGAAATACATCTCAGGCCTTATTTATTTATTTATTTATTTATTTATTTATTTATTTATTGTGGAGACAGTGTCTTGCTAGGTTGCTTAGGGCCTCACTAAATTGCTGAGGTTGGCCTTGAATTTGTAATCCTCCTGCGTCAGCCTCCTGAGTCTCTGGGATTACTAGTGTGTGCCACTGTGCCCCACTTTCTTCTTAAATTTATCCTAAAATATTTCATATTATTTCATGTGGCTATAATTATATTTATTTTTAGCTTTGAATTTCCAAATATCCATGGCTAGTATATAGAAATAACTTGATTTTTTTTAAGAGAGAATTTTAGTATTTATTTTTTTCTTAGTTTTTGGCGCACACAACATCTTTGTTTGTATGCGGTGCTGAGGATCGAACCCAGGCCGCACGCATGCCAGGCGAGCGCGCTACCACTTGAGCCACATCCCCAGCCCAAGAAATAACTTGATTTTGACATAGTTACCTTGTATCCTGTGATCTGGCCAAAGTCATTTAATAGTTCTAGTAGATTTTTGTCTATGGCTATTCCTACATACATGATCATAGAATATATAGTACCCATAGTATACATACAGAACCACTCACTTTTGTGCTTTTAATTTTGTTAAAAAAAAAAAAAACTCTGTCCTTTCTCTTAGTTCATCTTTGAAGTCCTGGATTTTGCTTGGTTCTCATGATCTTCATTGCTTTATTAATGTAACATGGTTGAAATTTTGAAATAGATATCTGAGAGTGTGTCAAAATTTTCTTAGGTGTACTTGGCATATTGAGTTAGTGAATTATAATTTTTCCTCTCTACTCTTGCACCTGACCCAGGTATTACTTCCATACATTAATCATCTTTGTGTCCTCAGAACCTAACAGCACCTCACACTCAAAAATTGTTTCATTAATAATCATTGAATAAAGGAATGCAATATCAAGACCTATTCAGAATGGATTCAGCTATATCCTAAATAGGTTAATATATATATCCTAAATAGGTTAATAAAAAGTTGTTATTTTCCTCTGGTCACATTTTCATCCAAATGATATGATCTATGGATTGGCATAATCTCCTGGCTAGCCTCTGTCATCTATTAAGTGGGTGTTTCTGAATATCATTTTTCTAATCCCTTTTTCAAAACTTGTTTCAACRTAATGTAGTTATGATCTGATTTAATAATCACTAAGCTCATTAAAACTTAGTGGCTATTTCTTAATAGAAAGCAATGTTTGGCCCCATTTTCTTCATTCTTCTTCTGAGTCTTTCAGTTGGGAAGCACAGGAGGGTGATTTACTTGTTCTTGGATCCCACAGCCTTTCTGACACAGTAGGTTCTAAAGCATTGGTGTTGTTGAACTAGTAACATGGGACCTCTGCCGTCACCGCTGCCAGAGGGTTTAAAGGAGGCATGGGAACAGAGGGTTCTTCCAGCACTTAGATTAATTTCATCTGGTTTATAGCCAGCTTTCTAAAATTAACTGTGGCTAAAGCTGAAAAGGCTTTTTAAAAAGACCTTCACTGGATTATCCCACAAGGCCACCAGATGGATCTATTCTTCCATGAAAGAAGAGCATTTCCACCGTGAGATGGCCATTCTGCCTATGACCAATGTGTCTACTGGTCCTGAGCTTGTGAAGGACCAGGGACATCACTCCCAATACCTCAAATCTTCATTGCTTGCTGCAGAAGGTCAAATTTCTTACCTAGAGTTCTCTTGCCCAAATGTTTCTAAAAATCCCCAGGGGATCCTGTATGTGCCCCAAGTATATATCAGTCCTTGTTGTCACTTAAGGGTGCTGGTGCTGATCTATGGCTTCATATGCTCAGGCCAAACCCATTGGCCAAGGTGACTGTCCACCCTCTGAAGTTGCAGCCACCTTCATGATAAAGATGGAAGTGAGTGTTCAGTGAGAGAGAGGATGGCTCCCTGGGTGTCACTTGCTCTTGGGGATGGGGCAAATCCCTGGGTGTCCCAAATCTATCATTTGAACCCTAAACTGTTGTAACAGTTAAGGATACTTGGATATTACTATTTTTTTTGTTTAGTATTAGTTCTCTCAGGAATTATCTGGCGTGGGGAGAAGAGGGTCAGAAGATGTTGATTCTTGACAAAAACATTCACACAATACTAATGTATAAATAAATTTCCCCAATGCTGCACTTTTATAAGCACCATTTTTAATTATTTCCAGTATGCTATTGAAGCTTAACGTTTCAATTTTCTAAACTATTTTTTAGTTATTGGCCATGTAGTTTCTTGCTGTTTTGCTGTTGTGCACAATGTTTCAATGAATATTTTTATGCTTCTTGAGATGGATCACTTAATTGATAGAAAGCAGGTCCATTCAGAGAGGAAGATGACATCTCAGTTAATACAATATAGGTACCATCATCCTCTAAGGCTCAAGAACATGAAAAAATGGTACTAAAGATCAGAAGCTTATTTTAATAAGCAAAATAACAGACTATAGGAAATACTATTAGCTTCTGAGAGTTTAGATAGGGTATTGTGCACAGGTCAGACTGATCTCTTACTGCCAGACCCATCACTAGCATATTTTGAGGACTCGGGTCATTGCTACAAATAAACAGACCTCAGGACTTCCACTTTTCTGGGAGGATGGGTTCACTGACCTCCCTATGCTGGGTGAATCTCGATCATGTGGTTACTTCCAGCATTCACCAGCTGAGGAGCAAAGTGTCAGAGGAGCATGATGTTCTCAAGAAGAAAGAGATGGAATCAGGGCCCAAAGCGTCCCATGGCTATGGCGGTCGGTTTGGAGTGGAAAGAGACCGAATGGACAAGGTGAGTTGCAAGAGAGAGATTTGTTTTTTTTTTAAAAAAGACTAATTTGTTGGTTTCATGGTTTAAAATATGTTCAAAAGTACAGTACCCACTTAAGCTTTTAAAAATAGAATGTCTGCATGTAATTTTTATCATTTTTTTTTTTTCTGATCTTAACACCTAAGATATAGATGGTGGAAAACAGAGGCTAAATATTAGAATGGCAGCCAGAGGCACACTGTTACTCCTGCACCAACAAGAGAGGGTGTGCCAGGTTTCTGTTCGCGACTAAAACACACAAGGTTCACTCCAGTTAAACTGGGCTAACTGGGCTAACTGGGCTGCACAAAATAACCACACAAGAGACACAAATACCTTTTTCTTTGGGGTCGCTGTCATGGCTCCTCTGACCTTAAGGGTCCGCAGGGAAAGAGAGAGAGCATGTGCTGACCCTTTTTATTGAGGAGAAGCTATTCAAATAAGGCAAGGGGTCAGATTTCAGGGGGCTGAGTCTATCTTCATGATGTCYACTGTCAGCAGGTTGACTGACATCTGGGTAGGCCACACCCAAGGACACAATAAGAGAAGGGGACACACAAAAGGCACTTCCATGGAAGATTCTATCCTAAAAGGGCCAGGGATTATATTACAAAGGAACAAGTGAGCATAGCTCCACCCATGGGGCTGTAGGAAGACACAGCCTGGGCACGAAGACAGTCACTTGAACCCTAGAAAAGCGGGGCAGTCTAGCAGCATGGTGCCTGACGCCACATCACCCAGCAGGGGAGTTAACTCAATCACGTGGGAGGTTGGTCTCCCACAAGGGTACACAAGAGGAGAAGGGGAAAATAGGTTTTAGAATCATTTACTTATTTTAAATGTCTATATATTATGTCTTTGTTCAACTTCTTTTATTATTTCTTTACTGTGTATTTAGTGATCTTTTGTACATATATTATACATTAAATGTTGGAGAAAAGTTAAGAATTTACTTCATTATTGTTTTGATGCACAAGGCCCTTGTTTTAGCTCTTTTTGTTTCTGGTTTGAACACTGCTCCTCCTACCCAGCTCTGTCCTCTGGCTCCCTGCCCAGCCTCCAGGAATCTTCTAGGTGATGGCTCCCTGGTGGTACAGGGAAGAATCAGGGATGTGCTAGGACAGGAAAGGCCCCCTGCCCTCATCCCGTACTCCTCAGCACCACTCTCAGAGGCTGCAGGACTGATCCAGCGTGGACTTGCTGGTGTTCTGACATGCAATGGATATTGCATCCCTGTATCTATGGTTTCARGGTCATTTTGACCATTTCATCCTTCCATTCTTGATTGTTCTCAGAGTGCCGTGGGCCATGAGTACGTTGCTGAGGTGGAGAAGCACTCTTCGCAGACTGATGCTGCCAAAGGCTTTGGAGGCAAATTCGGAGTTGAGAGGGACAGGGCAGACAAGGTAAGCAGTGACTTGCTCCCTGCACTGTCCTCCTTAAACCATGGGGGACCTGCTGATACTTGCCCATAAATGTAGGCCACACTATTGGAGGCAGTAGATACTATTTGGGTGTGGCGCCATCACAGGCCTAGTCCCCATGAACTCCCTCAGCAAGTTCCTTGGTGCCACTGTTGGAGGCCACATGCTGAGCCCCAAGATATCCATTGACATGCAGCAGGGGCTGGGTATAGCTCAGTGGTACAGCACTTGCCCAGCCTTTGTGAGGTCTGGTTTTTCATTCCTATCACTGCAAAAAAATAAATAAATGAGGCAAAGACTCAAGCTCTCTGAATAAGAATTCCTCAAGCCATTGGTTTTGTTTTTGTTTCTTTATTTTATGTTTAATTTATTTGTTTGRTTGGTTTTTTTGGTACTGGGGATTAAACCCAGGGGCAATTTACCACTGAGCCACAACCTCAGTCCTTTTATTTATTTATTTACTGGTACCAGGGATTGAACTCAGGGGCATTCAACCACTGAGCCACATCCCCRGTCCTATTTTTCTATTTTATTTAGAGACATGGTCTCATTGAGTTGTTCAGCGCCTAGCCATTGCTGAGGCTGGCTTTGAACTTGTGATTCTCCTGTCTCAGCCTCCTAAGCTGCTGGGATTACAGGCATGCCCCACCGTGCCCAGCAAGTCATTGGKTTTTATTATACCTATACACATGAAAAGAAATTTCCCCAAGCTCTTCTTTTGGCCTAACATCAAAACCTTCTAAAAATGCATGCCTTTCAGGAAAACAGAGATGTTAACTTAAATATTATTACCATGACAACAAATAATCGATAAAAGCAATTATTTAGGATCGAAATGATTTTCAGAGGTGAAGGGTACTTTTCACAGGATTTAGCTTCAATCTCTGAAGTCTGGGTATTTACAGAGACTCCTTTGTACCAAACAGTAGTTTAAAAGAAAAAAAAAAAATATATATATATATATATATATACACCAGCATAGTACAATTACAGGATGACAAAGTAGACAGGAGAGGAAATTTGCTAATTCATTGAAGCTCTCTGTTCCATGCCTTATTAAATGAGATTCTTTGAGCTTTTATTTCATGGTGCAGGCTGGTGTCTCTTCCCTACAGCTGCACAGAGAGAGGGCATCTTCAAGCTAACTCAGTTGTGTTGTTCTAATTTCCAGCATTTGTTGATTATGTGAGACTGAATTCATAAAACTAAGTGCTAGAATATTGACTGTCTACATGGTGGAGAGAGGCAGGGGAAAGCCAAAACACATYTTGGAAAGTTCAAAACCTGCTCTAAAGAAAAGGGAAATGCAGAAGGTGATTTTTGAAGGCATAAATGGCATAGCTTGTAATGTTCTATAAACAGGATGGAATTTCCTGTTCCATTTGGCTCCCCTCCTGTGTGTCTTTGCCTAATCTCTTATTGTTACATGTCTGCTTTACAAGCCACAAGGGAAATCACCTGAACAATGTGTGTGTCATGTAAATAAGAAAGGACACTTTACTAATTAGTTCGTGAGATGCAAAACCTAGACTTGTTTACAGACTCCCAGTTACTAAGCCAATGGGGATGCAGCCCCCAGGTGATGTTAGGTCCCCCGGACAGTTCATCCAGCTCTGGGGTCAGCCAAGATCCAGATTCTCCCAGTTTCTCCCACCCCACCAAAATCTGCATCTTTGTGTTTCACTGCTGAGTTATGAAAGAAGAGAGGCAGGTATAATCAACCAAGAACAGGATAAATATCTCTTTCRTGTGCATACTGGTTTACAAGGTACTTTTATACGTATTATCTTTTATACGTAATCCTGAGGATTTCTCAGGAAGAAATACASTAATTTAGAAAATGACTCAATGCAGATTCATGTATATACCTTGTTCCATTTTTTTGTCATATTATTCTAAATGAAGAGGGAGCCTTTCTTGCATTTTATAGTGGAGATGGGTAAAGCAGGTGTTCTACTCTTCATGTTATATTAGAGACCAGTGCTCAGTCCTGTTAAGGAGCATGTCTAAAGCTAACCAGCTATGAATAGGGGAAGYGGGGTTGGAACTAGAGCTGTCTGTGTGCAGAGCCCGAGCTCACTGCTTGGTAGTGCACTGCCAGGCACCACCAGCCAGTCGGGATTCTGTTTCTAGGTTAAAGCCCCATCACAGCCCTGAGCCCCCATAATCTACCTTTGGGGCTGAACCTAGAGTAAGGGAAAGCCAGGGAGAGGAAAACTGGCAGTCCGGACTCTAACAGTTGTCTGTCCATTTCTCTGCAGTCAGCCGTGGGCTTCAATTACAAAGGAGAAGTGGAGAAACACACATCTCAGAAAGGTAAGGACCTGCACTCCCGCCTCGCCTACCTGCCCGGCTGGCTCCTCCACGGACTTCACCTCCCAACAGCTGCTGCCAGTGTCCCCGCTCCAGGACTCCCCGGCCCACTACCTTATCCACTCTTTAATTCTACCGTGTGCTTGTTTTCTCTGTCCCCTTCACTGCTTTCTATGAGACTGATGAAGTTTTCTTTCATTCTTTTTTTCTTGTAATAGTCTGAAAGTATTCAATTCCTTTATTCTGGAGTTATCCTTGAATTTTAAGTCTCTAAGATCTAACAGACTGCCCTTTCAACCCTAGACTACTCTCGAGGCTTTGGTGGCCGTTATGGGGTGGAGACGGATAAACGGGACAAAGCAGCTCTGGGATATGACTACAAGGGAGAGACGGAGAAACACGAGTCCCAGAGAGGTGAGTTGGGGCTGAGAAGAGAGAGGTCACGGAGAAGGACAGAGATCTCCTTCCATTCTGTCTGGAAGTGGCTCCAGGGGCCCCGGATGTGGAGGGGCTGATGTGCAGAGAAGGCAGATGGGGTGGGGTGGAGAGGAAGTGGCTGGAGGAGGGGAGACATGCAGGGGTGGAGAGGACAACAGCAGGATTCGGAGCAGAGCTGAGGAGGGAGGCCAAAGAGAAGGGGTCACTGGGAAAGGCTGGGCGATGGCCACACAGTGGCTTGGCTATGTGTCTCACCTCCCCTTCAGCCTCACMGTCTACCTCTTCCCTGGATCCGTGCAGGGGTAGCTGGAGAGCTCTCCTTGTTTTTTCCTTTTTTGTTTGTTTTGTTTCCCATTATTTTGAAACTTCTTTAATTTTTTTTTTGTTTCCCTGTTTCCATTTCTCTCTTCTCCATTCTCTCTGATYGCCCCCATCCTTTCCCCTCTTTTCCCACCCATGCCTCTCTCTATCCTCCGAGTCTCACATTTCCTCTTGTGTCTCTGTGTCCCACATTCCTGTCTTCTGGTCCTTCTTCCCACGGCTCCATTTCCCCACCTATCTCCAGCATTTTAACCTCCTATTGTGACTCTCAGAACTTCCTGTCCCACAGATTACGCCAAGGGCTTTGGTGGTCAGTATGGAATCCAGAAGGACCGAGTGGATAAGGTAACGCGCCAGAACACCAGTGTCCTGAGAAGGGTCCCCTACGTGTAGGGAAGTAGAGAGAAGAGTGCGAAGCAAAGTGGGGAGAAGGATGGGTCAGTGATGCTGGTGCTCTGAGCCTGTCCTGCTGGGATCCTGCCCTCCCCATTGACTGCCTTCAGCATCTGATGGACATGAGGTCACAACCTGATGAGCTTTAAGTGAGGACAGTGGAATGCAGCAAGGAGAGACAGAGAGGAGAAATGAACCTCAGGGAAAGGTGGTGTTAGTTGTGCAGTTTCATGGATTGCTTGGCATTGCTTAACCCACTCCTTTTTGTCTCTGCCTAGTCTATGTCACTGTTGATCCATACACTAGCTCCTTTTGCACTGGCCAGGGACCCAGCTGCACTCTAGGCTCAAGACATGTGATCCRAAGTACACTAAGCTTTCAAAGGGAGCCACCAAACCTACCTGTTTAGAACTCTCTCTGCCACAAAATAATAATAGGACCTTGTACTAGTGTTAAGACCCACATGGTTAAGGGCTACTTCCTACAGTGGGCCCAATCCCCAGCACTGCCTTCTGAATCACTGCCATCCTGTCCCTCCCCACCTGCACATACTGTTCTCCCAAATTACAGAGTGCTGTTGGCTTCAATGAGATGGAGGCCCCAACCACAGCTTATAAGAAGACGACACCCATAGAAGCCGGTGAGTCTCAGTTTCCTCTATGATCTTCAACTTCCTCTTTCTCATCTGCAGTCTATCTCCTGCATGCCTTTAACTCCAGAGGTTATCTGAGGGAGGCTTGATCTCTAGCCTCATATTCCCAGATCTGTCTCYTAGAAAAACCAGGTCAAGTGATAGAGTGGCATTAGGGAGGGAGCTGGGGGCAGAGAACACAGGGGGGAGGGAGGGAGAAGTACTTGGGAAGGGTATGCAGGGGTAGGAGCTTGGGATGGGCAGAAGATGGTGGTGGCTAGAGGATGTACATGTTTGAGGAGAGTGAGCTACTGAGGGAATCAAGGCTTATAATTTAGAAAGGACAAGAGTCTGAGGTCACACCGAATGGCTAGATGGAAATCTGGGCTTTGAGTCCAAACCATCCCCMTGTACCCCTCTGTTCCTCCATCGCTGCCTCTTTCATTCTCCCTCCATGAGTCTCCTCTCCATCTTCTCTTCTGGATATCCAAAACTGATTCCTCTTCTTCCTTCAAACGCCACCCTTTCCTCCACTCCCCGTCCATGTCAACCCTAATTCTTCTTGCCTGTGTACAGCTTCCAGTGGTGCCCGTGGGCTGAAGGCAAAATTTGAGTCCATGGCTGAGGAGAAGAGGAAGAAGGAGGAAGAGGAGAAGGCACAGCAGGTGGCCAGGCAGCAACAGGAKCGCAAGGCTGTGGTGAAGATGAGACAAGAGGCTCAGCAGCCAGTGGTTCCYGCAGAAGAGCCAGCAGCGCCAGCCCCATTGCCCAAGAAAATCTCCTCAGAGGTGAGCCTGGCCTCCAGGATCCTCGTCTGGAATCCCTTTCCCARGCAGAACCTGAGGGGTCCAAATGATGGCAAGAAAATAAGGCCTGGGTCTTCCCTGTGTAGGCAGAGTCAGCTGTTTCTGTCCTCAGGAAGATTCAGTCATCTGTGTAGYTGATACTCGTATGTCAGAAACATCAGAAAACAAACAAGCAAACTAAGATATATGTAGTACAATGAAGGGCAGGCCACCAGCCACTGCTGCCAGTCATCCAAGAGGAAGGAGCCAGTTCAGGCTGGRGCCCATCTTGAGCGATGCGTTCTAGTTGGATTGGCAGAGAGCAGGAGGGGTGTGCCTGGGGATTGTGAGTGAAGGTGGTGGGTGCTTGTTCTCCGTAGGCCTGGCCTCCAGCACAGAGTCATCCAGCACCAGAGCCCGAGCCTGTGAGAACTAGCAGAGAACACCCAGTGCCTTCCCTGCCCATGAGGCAGAGTCCCCCGGAGGTAAGCAGGGCCCCGAGGACTCTCTGCCCCAGGGAGGTGGATTGCATAGGGTGGCCAAACACCCTGCTTCACCTGGGACTGTTCTGGTTTGAGCGGTGAAAAGTCCTGCATTCTGGAAAATTCCCAATCCTGGACAAACTAGGACAGCTGCTTATCTTAGCTGTGCTATCCCAACGATGTGCTTTTGCTTCAGAGTTTCCCTGGGCTTCCAAAGGCTCTGACTTGCCTTCCACTTTCCTGCCTTTATTCCTTTTACATTCCCCTCCTGTCGTTTCTTGGTAGGTGTTCTGAGTGAGTGGGTATGGAAGGAGGTTGCAGGMTGAAGATGGATGACAGACTGTGGTGGTGCAGGTGGGGTCTCCACTGACTCCTCTTGGTGAGTGCAAGTCACCCTGTTCCACATTGTCTTTTCTCAGGACCATGAGGAGCCCCCAGCTCTGCCTCCTAGAACTCCRGAAGGCTTCCAGGTGGTGGAAGAGCCAATATATGAAGCAGAGCCTAAGCCTGAGCCTGAGCCTGAGAATGACTATGAGGATGTTGGGGAGATGGACAAGCAGGAGCAGGATAATGATACAGAGGGGGACTATGAGGATGTGCTGGAGCCTGAGGATCCCTGTGTTCCCTCCACCCTGGCTGGTGAGTGGGGTATGGTTAGGGGGAGAAGCAACTCCTCAGTTTTGTCAGGTGTGGGAGAAGAGGAGGATGCGTTTCCCCACTGCCCAGGAGGATCTGTCTCTGCCTTCTCCTTGTTGGTGAGACCATGTGTATATTTCTCATCATGCAGGACCATCAGGCAGCCCAGCTGGGGCTGGGGCTAAGGGGATCTCAGCTGTTGCCCAGTATGACTACCAAGGAGGTAGGTTGGGAGTGGCCTGAGACCTATGATAGACAGGAAGGGGATGGATYCTGGGGGTCAGGGAAAGGCCCAGTCTTGCCACCAAGACAAAGGCCAGGCCTCTTTCCTGGGAGTAAGTTCAGGGAGAGATGGCAGGATTCCTGTTTGATCATCCTAATATCCCCTCCATTTCCTCCCCAGAGGGAAGTGATGAGCTTTCCTTTGATCCGGATGACATCATTACTGACATTGAGATGGTGGATGAGGGCTGGTGGCGGGGACGTTGCCACGGCCACTTTGGACTCTTCCCTGCAAATTATGTCAAGCTCCTCCAGTGACTGACCTCACTATCTACTACAGCTGTGACTCCCCATGTCCAAAGTGGCTCTGCCTCCATCCCATCCCCATTCCTGCTGCAAGTGCCTAACAGGAAGTCTTGGGTTACCTGAGATTCTGGACAGACTTCCCTCTCCTGTTTCATTAGGGCTTCAGGCCAAAACAGCATGAGGAAGGAGGTCTCCTTCCCGATGGTGTCCTCTATGTCCTGGAATAGCTCTTGGATGTTTACATTGTGGTCCTGCCTTCTTCCCCAGTAATGCCCCCTATAATGACACCCCCAACTCTGCTCTATTCCCTTGTAAGCACTGGGCTTCCTGGTTTGCTTACCTGAGAAGGTGGGTCTATTCTACCTGGTTGTGTTTTTGCCCACTTTTCTTTCCTTGGGAGATATTTCTGAGATTTTTTTCTGTTCACTCCTAAAGTTGGAAATAAAGTGGGACTTCTGTGCACCTCTGTGCTGAGGAAAATAAAACTTCTTGTGCAGTCCTGGCTCTCATGGCTCTAATTTCCCACCCCCTTCCAGGCATATCCAGAAGACCCACTCTTAACACTACCTATTCCTAGCACCCTAGATTCAAGGGCGAGACATTTTTCCTATTCCCTTACACCCGGTCCAAAACAGGTGATCTTGAGAATGGTGGTAAGGTGGGATGACAGGGGGCCAGGTGGTACCCACGTTAAGGTGGTATCAAATCTACCAGCTTTAGCAGTTGTGCCAGGCCAGCCACCTTTTCTTTCCACATGGTGATTGTAGAGGAAGAAGCCCAATCTAGAGGATAGAAAGCAGGAGAAAGGAAAGGAAAACAAATTGTAGTGAGGCTGAAGAGGATTTAGATCCAGAGACAGTGGCCTCCTTGTAGCAGGCTGGATGGAGGAAGTACATGAAACTTCTGAATGGCCCAGAGCCGAGGCAGATAGGAAAGAGGGTAAGGACATGTGGATGGCCATTGTGGACAAAAAGTGAATTGCCAAGCAAACCATGGGATGAGGGAAATTGACAGGTCAGGGCAAGATGGGTTTTTCTCAGCCCCAGACTACTGGGATCAGCCTCAGCAAAGGTCAGAGACAGAAGATTTGAGGGCACAAAGTGGGGGATTTGGTGTAGATGATCTTTGGTTGATAGGACATAGAATCTATGCTGTTACCAGCATCCAAGTTGAGTCCAGCTTTCACGGAGGGAGAAGGCATTGGAGTGGAGGAGGAGGAACTAGGATTAGTGGCTGAGATCCACAGTTGCTCCAGGACTTCATCAGAATTGGTGAGCTGCGGGGRCACCTAGAGAGCTGCACTCTTCAAGCTTGTTCTTGACTTTTCTTCAAGACACACAATCCTTAGTTTTGTTAATGACTTCTCCGCCAGCAAATCACAAAACTCTCTAGATATAACTCACAAGATTCACACACCTTAACCTTTCAAAGGTGAGTGCAAAGCAGCCTTTATTTCCTCCTATAGAGACACTGGGATTTCCAGTATATAGCAATAGATCATCACATCTACACAATATCATTCTTCATTTCAGTTTGATTTGATTTCACACAGAAGGCAGACTTTTACAGCAGTTTTCCCGATCCATCTCCAAGTTCCACTTTGCTTTTTTACTCTTCCCTTCAGAAGAGGAGAAAGTTCTTTTCCAGATCGCTTTGCTGCTAAGGCAATAGAGTCCTTTCTGGCCAAGTTCTACAGACCCTGCCCTCCACATTCAAAGCTAGTCTCTACTCTGGTCTGCCTTTCTGGGCTGTGATGCTCATCAAGAGCTCTGTTGAGGCTCTATTCCTGTGACACAGCCCTCTCTGCCCACCTCAAGTGCTTCTTACTCTGAAGCCATGTCTAGCTGTCTTGCCTCTTCCTTAGGCGCTCCCTGCTCCTGCTGCTCACTACAGCCTCACCTCACTAATCAATCATCTGTCTCCCCACAGCCTCTCTGATAAGGTCCCCTCCTGCTCCTCTGCTCTCTCCTCTAGGAACCAGGAGATACCAGCAGTACCCTGGTTTCCTGCAATATGAACAATTATCTTATAAATGTRTTTGATGATGTTGACCAAATCAGTATTGTTCTGAAGGGAGCAAATGGGAGAGGAAAGTGCCTCAAGGAGCGCCCCGCCCCCCACGAGGGGGCGTGTCCTGAACCCGTGCCCCGCCCACCCTCGCTGTGGAGGGAAAGCCTTCTGCCCTCTTCATGCCTCTGTGGTTGCTCCTCAACCACAGCCCCGACTCATCGTCCTCTGTCCGTAGTTCCTCTTTCTCTCTTTTTCCAATTAGAAATCCTGGCTTTGGGAGCATTATTCCTCCACATAAGAAGGACCAGATTCCAAACACWTGTAACTGACACCCAGAGAACTCTCTTCCTTTCTTCTTTCCCACACCTGACATCCAGAGTTTGCTTCTAGTTACTCATCTTCACTGAGTAAAGCCTTAGATCACACTCTAGTTATATTTTTAGAAAACAATGACATATATAAATGTAAAATATAAATCAAACAATAAGCTTTAGAAAAAGTAAGATTACGTTACCAAATAGTACCAAGTGGCACATAATAATGAAAGATGAGCATATTTCTGGTTTGGGGCTTGCTCTACCACCATCTTGACTCTTCCTTTTCAGAGGTATGATCTACACCATTTCTGAACTGGGGCGACCCAGTCAAAACAAGCACCCAGATGAATGAGCCAATTTCTTTGGTTGGGTGAATTCTTTCTCTACTTCCCTTTTGTTCTGTCCTCCCTTTTTCCTATTTCTCACTTGCTTGAGAACAGCTAGAACTGCTTGGAAAATGGCACTGATTAAGGTAAGAAGGACATAAACATAAGACAAATAACTTTCCTGGATATAACTGAGGAGAGCAGAAAATACATATTCTTCCATGTGGCCTGGGGACATGAAGCCATATCAAACAATTGGATCCATCTGGTTTCCGACTTAATATCACCTGACATCTAAAACCTATTTAGTAGATACATAAGGGCAGCATTAAACCACAGCCATTGTGGATGGCTATGTGCAACAAGATTCTGTTGTACTGAAAAATGAGCATATCCTAACTTACTGCTATGATATTCCTTAGGACAGTGGTTCTCAGCCTGCAGCCACTTTGCTCCCAGAGGTCATTCTGCAATATCTGGAGACATTTTTGGCTGTTCACTGTGTGAGTGCTACTGTGGGGTGGAGGATGGATTTAATAGAGGCCAAGGGTATTGCTAAATACCCTATAATATATAGAATAGTCCATTATGACAAAGAATTATCCAATTTAAAATGTCAATAGTTCTGGTTAGGCACAGTGGTGCACACCTGTAACCCCAGCATCTTGGGAGGCTGAGGCAGGAACATCACAAGTTCAAGACCAGCTCCAGAAACGTAGTGAGACCCTGCCTCAAAATGAAAAGGGGCTGGGGAGGTAGCTCAGTAGTGAAGCTAGTCCGGGTTCCAAGTGGCTAGGAGTTCCAAGATTAGGAAACTTGGCTTCAGGGATTGCAAGTTTATTGGGGACTTTTCCCTCTACTTATGTGCTTGTGAATATTCATGGTTTGTTATCAAAAACAGCAGTAGCATCTGTTTTTGACCAGCTGGAGGAATGACCAGCAAGCTTGGGGCAATCCAAGGAACCACTGTGTTCATATGTCTTTCTCTCTAGGGCCCCCAGTGGACTATCCAAGTGGTGTATGGTACCTGCGGACCAGTGCCACAGGAACTGTGGGGGGTCTTGTTTGGGCTTTACCCAACACGTAGTCTCCTCAGCTTCCCTGTGTGTCCTGGCATGACACTGAGGTTGGCATCATGTATGGAGGTCATTTCAGATATAGGGTGGCACTGGGCTATGCCTATGCTCTCCTTCACCCAGACCTACAATATACGTCTCAGGAAAAAACAACCTTGACTCTGAATCATTATTAAAAACGTTCAAAAGTAGGCTTGAGGCTTTTGTCCTTTCTTTGAAAATACAGAGTCTCCTCTGGACTCTCCCTCGTTTTTCAAGGCTTTCTATACCTTGCTAAGAATCTACACAAGAGACTCAGTGATCTCCTTACCTTTGGGCCTGCGGTATCCTCCAGGCTGCTGTGCTCAGCCAGGGGGCTCTGTTCTATTAGGATGAGTTGGGACTACTTGGGTTTAGAGGCATCAGGGTGACCAAAAGTCACCCTGAACTTGACTGTCAAGACAGGCCCAGCTTCAGAACCTTAGAGCTGGATGCCCTCCACCCTGCACCCTGGGAGGTAACTCTGCACCCTAGGAAGTAACTGACTGTCCATGCACTGTCTGCCCTGCCAATATGCAAGYTTTGTAAACCAAAAAGCCCAGTGTAAAATCATGGGCTTTTGTTGGTTACGGAATTTCATTGCTCTCTCACTTCCTAAAGACTTGTATTCCTTTCCAAATAGCCTCAGTTACTTATTCTCTCCTCAGACTTATCTATTTTAGAAAAAAGAAAAAGAAAACTAAGTCACAGTGTGGCATTATCATATAAGTCATCGCTTAGGAAATTCTTAGATCTAGTACAATTGCTGAGGTTTTGAAAGACATCATATGTTCCAATACATGCAATGAAGCAGAATATGCAGTTACAGCAGGGGTTTCTCAAACCATTCTCAGTCCTGCTTTCAATCACTCCAAGGAAAAATTCAASAATGATGCCATCCAAATCTCTAGATGTGTCTTCCTCGTGGTCTAGTTCTAAAGGTGGAGACTAAGCTCTCTTGGGCCTGCTCACGGGGCTGACACATGCTGGTCAAACGAATCGGGTCAGTCTTGTGCTCTATGATGTTGAAAGGACAGGCCTTCAGATGCTCAGACATGGAGGTGACTTCATTAAACTCCCAGCTCTTGATTTGGGAGAAGAGGCTGCTGAACTGCCAGATCTGTGGAGAAAGAGAAAAACTTAAAGATAAACCTGGGGCAATGCCCCCAGGCTGGCTGTGTTTGAACAGGATAAGGAAACGCCTCTCTCTACTTCCTTCCAGAGTGTTCAGTGGCATTTGACTTTTGTTAGTTTCTTCCCCAGTGTCCAATTTAAGCTTCCCCCTTCCAATTAATAACCTTCCCAGACAGCCTTGCAGTTGTGTGGGAATGACTGACACAGATCAGCATATTGACATCCACCTACCTTCCCCTGTCCTTCCACTAGCAACTGTTAGTTCTAGAGTAGACCCAGTTTAAATCAGGACAATTAGCACCAATGGGATTCTACCCCAGCACTTTTGTTTGAGATTTCAAAAAGCAGATTCTCTTTCTCCTTCTGTACTTGAACTGGGAACTGTAGTCCTAGGAGGTGTCAGCAGTCTCTAGGGACCACCAGAGGAGAACTGTCTTAGAATGGAGCCAATATTGAGGAAACAAAGAAACAGAAAGTAAAACGAACATTGGGGAATTTTTTGAGTTGCTAAATCAAGCCTTACCTGAAACTATTAGCTAAGGACTTTTGAGTTATATAGGCTAATAAATTCCATTTATTGTTTATGGTACTTTTAATTGCTTTTCTACCTGCTTGAAATTAGAAGTATTCTAACTAAATTAAGGTCTTACCTCAATGGAGAGTTCTATGAGTTGAGTCAGTACTCAATAAAACACTCTCTGGTCTTTCCAGCTAGGAGGTGGTGGCAAAGCTACTAGTTTTAAAATGTGGCTATGAGGCTTGGCACCCTTGGCACCTGGTACCCTTTCAGCCTAACTACTTCACCCTCAGTGTTTTGTCTTGTTCCTGTGCAAAAATAAACTATTTCTTGGGATCTTGGAATTATTTCCCTTTTTACCCCAAAAGCCATTTTAATGTGAATATCCTTTAGCCCCAACTAAATTCTCTTTGTTCTTTTCTGCAAGCAAATTAGTTTGTCCCAAATGATATCCAAGAGTGGTCAGCAATCATTGAATTAGGAACAAACTTGAAACTTACCTCTCCCCACTCCCACCTGCCCCCCACCAAAAAAAGAAAAATGTAATTTCTAGCATGCAAAAATTAAATTATTTGCATCTGTTTTGTAGAGGAAGATAATAGGTAGTTTTAGACAACACTTTTTCAAAAGAATATCTCATTCACTATTTATCCTTAGCATGTGGTTGACAGTCAGTGTTTAGCACATGGATGTAGGCATGGATACGTAAGAGAGAGTCTTATAATTATGTTTGAACAAGACTGTCTAGGTGATCAATAATGGAAATACACATTTTAAATATAGTCAACAAAAATAGATGCAAACACTTCTAATTCCCCAATGCAGCTCTTAAACACCCACCTATTAGGAAGAACTGCAACATTAATATTATAGAATTATTGACCTAAATAGGTATTAGTCATTCTTGGTTCGTATTACCCCCATATTTACTATGAGAAAGAACGTTACAGGCCAGGTGTAGTGGCACACATTTGTAATCCCAGCTCCTTRGGAAACTGAGGGAGGAAGAACACAAGTTCAAGGCCAGCCTGAGCAAATTAGGGGGACCCTATTTCAAAAATAAAAAATGAAAAGGTCTGGAGATGTAGCTCAGCTCAGTAGTGAAGTATCCCTCAGTTTAATCCCCGCTACCAAAAAAAAAAAAAAAAAAAGGACATTACAGGCACTTAGATATGATGAATTAGGAGTCTTACTTCTGTAGAAGTCATAATACAGCTAAGTAAATATGACCCAATGGAGAAGAAAAAACAAAAATTTTACTGAAGGAAAGGGATGCTTTAATACAACAAAGTTTTCTGAAAAAATTAAGTATTTGAACCAGGGGAGAGATCAGTAGATTGAATTCATGAAGAATTTCAAAATGCCTTTATCAACAGCAAAAACTATTCTTCAAAGAACCATTGAGGGCTGGGGGTGTAGTTCATGGATTCAGTGTTTGCTTAGTATGCYCAAGGTTCTGGGTTCAATACTCAGCACTCACTACAAAACAAACAATAACCAAGAATCAGTTGACATAGGACTGAGAAGAATGTTGCCTTACTGTAATTGAGTCCAAGCAGGAAATAGATGGCACACACAAATGGGGTCACGTTAAGAGAATTTTTAAGAGGAATGATTTTCAAATATATGGGCAAGGTACAGGAAAGCCATGAGATACTGTAGAGTATCCAACCTTAGTAACAGTATAGAGTCACTCCTCTAGGCCTAAAGGGGAAGAAGGCTGTCATAGGAACCCAGAATGAGTAACTGTGTGGGGAGAGCCACCGGAGGCAGCCACCTTAGCTGAACTTAGCCAGTTCAAAGGGGCATGAAGGGAAGGAACCAGGAGAGTGGATCCTTCAACCCTGTTCTTCCACCCTCCTTCCCTCCCATGGTATTAGCCCCACTGGAAGCTGGAGGGMAAAGGAAACCAGTTAAGCAATCTGGGGACACACCAGCGTGGAGAAGGGTCTGTCTCCCTTAATAGACTGATCTCCTTGAATCAGTCTTAATTCTAACAACTGTCCCATCATCTAGTGCAATGCTTGGCACATAAAAAGCTCTTTACAAGTATTTGTTGACTGAGTGAATGCATATTAACTTGCCTCTCTGTGGACTTTCCAGGAGGTGCCTCCATGAGAGTACTTCTTCTTCTTCCATTGCAAGAGGACCATCCCTCTCTCCTGTAACAGGGTGGCACAGATATTCCTCATCAGCACAGACACCTGGGAGAGCTGGGACAGGCTGATGCTGTCCAAGAACCCAGCAATGTACTGCAAAACCTCCAGGGGCAGGCTGGTTAGAGAGTTCTGGCTTTTTCCTCCTTGATCTATGAGATGGTTGTTCTTCCTGCTCTCGTTCAGCTCTGGAGCAACCTCGGGCTTGATGGCAAAGGTCTTGAGCTTCTGACTGTAGATCACTTTGGCCTTTTGTCCTGGGGGACGGAAATAGTTCTGAACAAATGTACATCCCAGGTAGGAAAGGGGGCATCGGTGTTGGAACCAGCCGTTGAGGCATGACTGAATGTCTGTGTGGACGTTCTTAAAGTGCAGGGGGAATTCATCCCTTCTGAAGAATTTGTTGCAGGTGAAAGTAAACGCAGAGCTACTCTTGTTGTGTCTCCTGGTCACACACTCACTGTGGAGCTCTACATGAAGTCCCCCTGGGTTGGCAGCAGTCAGGAGATCAGCCAGCACTGTCCCCGAGGAAAACGGTCCTGGCTCAAAGTTGTACGTCTGTGTGGCAAAATCTACAAACAGCCCATCGATGCTCCTGGATTCAGAGATGACGTGGCCCTTGAGTTCTCTTTCCAAAGCACACTGGAGGGTGGTCTTGATGAGGTCTGATTTTGGCAGGTCCTCCACGGTGATCCCCAAGTCAGAAGTATCTACGGCCTTGTGTTCACTTGGCCTACAACTCAACATGGCATCCCCAATTCTTGCTCGCTTCCCACAGTAGCTCACAGGAACTTTGAAGGTGTAAACGGTCTTAACTTCTTGAGCCTCAAGGTTGCCATAAACAAAGTCTCTCTCCCTGGGGGTACAAGCAGGCATCTGACCAAAGTGAATGAGCATCCGCCCATTGTGCACTAGATACATATTATAGTCCTTTGCATCTACAGCTGTTTTCAATCTTTCCAGAACACCATCCTGCCAGGGGGCAAGGCCTGTCTTTTCCATTTCTACGGAAAAGTCCCTCTGCTTCTGGTCTTGCTGTGGTTCTTCGCCATTGGCAGCAGCCTCTCCCTCTACCACGTTATTGCCATCGGAAATCTGTTCTGTCCCTGCACCATCCCTGCTCTTGYTCTCACAATTTGCTGATGAACTAGTTAAAGCAGAGGCTGCATGTTCTTTGCTGAACATGTTTTCCCACTTGTTGAACTTGGCCAGGTCCATCCCTTCTTTGGTCTTGGCTAGTGCCTCTCGTTCTTCTTGACTCAACTCATTCATCTCCCCGTTGGGTGCTGACAAACCGTTGTGTGGTACCAAACTGGCATCTGGTCCTCCCACTGCTCCTTCCATTTCCTCCCAGTTGGCATCACCATTCCTGGTTGGCTCCGCCTCTGTGGCATCTCTGGTTTCTGGGAAAAGCTCTACCATGTTCAAGGATCCGAAGAGAATCTTCTGATCCTGGAGGGCCAGGGCTGTATCCAAACACTCCTCATTGGGGGTCTCTTTCATGATGTTCTCATGAAGGATTGTTTCTGAGTCCACGTTTGGCCAGCGGTTCCATTCCATGGAGCAGCAGACCACGCTGGCCGGGCACATCTGCAGATGCTTGGCCAGCTTGTGGCGGGACATTAAAAGGGGGCAGCCATATTCAGAGTTGAGGCATGGAACCTGCTCTAAAGGACAGAGGAGCTTGTGCTCTGCCTCTTTGCACATGTGGAAGGTAGCACCGCAGAGCAGGTGGCAGCTTATCACCAGGCAGGAGACGTTGGGCTCCACAGGAACATGGCAGTGGCGGTTGATACATCCTTCACAATGCCTGTGTGGCCCAGGTGGGGGCCTGTRTACCCTGCCCTGGACACGCCAAGGGCAAGGGAAGAGAGGAAAAAAAAAATGAATGCGGTAAGAGAAGCTCAGTGCATGTCTGAGACAGTGTTTTAATTTGCTTCTTTCCTGTCTACTCATGAGTTTTATAGGAACCTTGTAACCTAGTGATGATTGTAGAGAAGAAAAAAATCCCTCCAAGTCCCACATGCCAGAAATAACAACTATCAACTCTTAAAATGTTTCCAGTGTTCATCCTACCTATATAGTACCTATGTTTAGAAAAGAACAAAAAAAGCTGAATGTAATGAATGATCTATGACATCGGCAGTTTTTTGTTATTGAGTTGTAGCTTATGTATGATTTATAGGGCTAATACTGTGAATATAATTTTGAATCCTGTGTTTTGAACTTCTATTATGACATAAAACCAGATTGGTATTGATTCTTTGCAGTGTTTCTTTATAATGGCAGATAACATTYCAGAAAATTGTGTGCTGTCGTTCATTCAATCATCTCCAGAGGTGTGCTGGGAGGAGAAAGGGCTGTGTCTGGTTTTGCTCACATCTGCATTCCTAGCACCTGATACCAGGCCTGGACCATTGTAGGTACTCGATAATATTTTCTGAAGGAATTGGTAGTCAATTAGGGTATTGTTTACTTTTTGCTATATTTTTAAACTTTTAATTGACAATATTTGTATGTATTTATGGGGTATAGTAGGATAATTCAATTCACATAGATAACGAGTAATAATCAAATCAGGGCAATTAGCATTTCCATYTCCTCAAACATTTACATTCCTGTGTGTTGGGAACCTTATTTAAATATTTTCATTAAAACTGTTTGCTCACAAATTGTTTTCTAYTCTCTGCTTTCCCCTTACTCCGTGTTAATTTCTTGCCAATAAATATCATCAAATCATAAGGACAAGTCTGCCAGCTGTTTGGGCTACAGGCTAAATAAATCAAGACCCTGACTGAAAGGTGAAGCTCCAACAAACATTCTGGCACTTACCATAGCTTCTCAATTTCTTCTTGCTTCTTAACTCTAGGGGAAAATATGAAGATATGAATATTAATGATTAGTAAGAAAAATATCATGGTTATTTATATTAACAGGGGCCAAAGACACTCCACGTTCTCTCTCATTTAATTCTTCTCACCAACCTGGAAGTGGTGCTTCCATTTTATGGTCAAGGAAATGGAAGCTGAAAGAAGTTAAGTAACTTAGCCAGGTCACACACTGGTAAGTGATAGAGTCAGGTTTCCAACCCAGGTCATGCTAGCCTGTGCTCGTGCACTGACCCCAGTGCCCTCTGATGCAGCACATTACCTACACCGATGGGAGACGCAACTTCTGTTTCTTGCAATTTTTTTCCATTGTCTATTGACAGTTATTCTAGGGCTCCTACTTCTCTGTCCTATACTTTCCCAATCTGTCCAAGTTACCCCCTCACTTTGTCTCTCACTGGACCTTCATGACTAATGAGAGGTCAGCCTGATAGCCAAGTTGGTCTGGGCAATGTCGAAGTACCTGTGACATATCTGTCATGTGCCATCACCTAGTGTCTTCCACTGTGTTGTGGTCAGAACAGGGGTCAAAACCCCAAAGGCCTCAGTTGCAGGCTAAATAGGGAATAGATTCTCTGCCTTCAGGGATTCTGGTCAATTAATTGGTCTTGGGGCTGGGGATGTGGCTCAAGTGGTAGCGCGCTCGCCTGGCATACGCGCGGCCCGGGTTCGATCCTCAGCACCACATACAAACAAAGATGTTGTGTCCGCCAAATACTAAAAAATAAATATWAAAATTCTCTCTCTCTCTCTCCCTCTCTCTCACTCTTTAAAAAAATATATTAAAAAAATTAATTGGTCTTATGTGTTGCCAGGTCTTCTGATTTTTCCAGAGAAAGTGAAGTTTTCTGAGTGCACAGTAGGAGGCAGACTACACAAGGCTCAACCCTGGTGCTACAGGTCAGCAGCTAAAAGGGAAATTGCATGGAAATGAAGGGAGACCCTCATTGCTATACAAAATTACATATAAGAGGTTGTGAGGGGAATGGGAAAATAAACAAGGAGAGAAATGAATTACAGTAGATGGGGTAGAGAGAGAAGATGTGAGGGAAGGGGAGGGGGGATAGTAGGGGATAGGAAAGATAGCAGAATACAACAGTTACTAATTGGGTATTATGTAAAATTGTGGATGTGTAACTGACGTGATTCTGCAATCTGCATTTGGGGTAAAATTGGGAGTTCATAACCCACTTCAATATAATGTATGAAATATGATATGTCAAGAGCTTTGTAATGTTGTGAACAACCAATAAAAAAAAAAAAAGACTTTGAGAAAGTTACTTCCACCTCGTTGTTCATCAGTTTTCCTGTCTGTAAAGGGAGGATGATAATAGTACCTGCCCTGTAGCACGGTAGGGAGAAGTTAATGAGTTTTAAATGCATGAAACTCAGAACAGTGCTTATCTTGTCAATTTATTGATGGTGAGTTTTCTCCCAATATTTTTTTTGAAGATTTTCAAATATATTTAAAAAGTTTAAGGGACATTTAAAAAAAAAAGCACCCCAAAACACTCTACCTAGATTCAACAACTATTAACATTTTACCATTTTTCTCTCCCCTTCTTCTCTTTCTCTCTCTCATAAACATTTTGACTGAAAATAAGATATCATAACATTTCATTCCTGAGTACATCAGCATGCATTTCCAAGAATGAAGACATTTTCTTTGGTAATTTTTACATTATTTTGTTTAAGAAAACTAAAATTTATTTATTAATGTCATGTCACAGATTGTTTACATTACTAATTCCCTAATAGCTCCAAAAATGTTTTCCATAATTTTTAATTTTTTTAAAGAGAGAGAGAGAGAGAATATTTTTAATATTTATTTTTTAGTTTTTGGTGGACACAACATCTTTATTTTTATGTGGTGCTGAGGATGGAACCCAGCGCCCCGCACATGCCAGGCGAGCTTGCTACCACTTGAGCCACATCCCCAGCCCGATTTTTAATTTTTTTAATGTTTAATTTTGAACAAGGATCCTTTCAAGGCCCATTTATTGCATATGGTTAAGTCTTTTTAGCCTCTTTTGTCTGAAACTGTCCCTTCAGGTTTTCYTTTTAAGGAGTGACAGTCTTAAATCTCAAGAAAACTATAGTCTGGTTCATTGTTTATTCACTTRTTCATCCATGCATTCAATAAACATTTGTTGATTACCTTCCATGTGCCGGTAAGGAGTATGAGTTACCTGGACTGCTTGTCAAAGTGACTTAGATACTATTTTCGTTAGAATCAGTTGTGATGTGTATAGATTTGACCCGAATAGATCTGCAATGTTCAAAACTGTCAACCAGATGTGGCTATTTAAATTTAAATAAATCAAAATAAAACACAATGAATGATTCAGTTCCTCAGTCATGCTAGCCATATTGTAAGTGCTTACTCTCCACATCTGGCTGGTGTCCATCTTCGTGGAAAGTTCTATTAGATAGTGCTGCTGTGGGTTCTGGCCACCAGATTCGGGGTGTGTACTGGAATTTACAATCTTAACATCCTGCCCATGTAATGATGACAATGATGATGATTTTCATAGCAGGTATTGAACGCAGAGATGTTTAACTGGTGACGTTCCCACCAACCCTTTTAATTTTTTTCTTTTGAGATAGGGTCTCTCTCTAAGTTGCTTAGGTCCTCACTAAGTTGCTGAGGCTGACTTTGAATTTGTGATTCACCTGCTTCAGCCTCCCAAGTCACTGGGATTAGAGGCATGCACCATTGCACCCGACCACATATGATTCTAATGCACATTAATGAGAACCCTGTTCTTATTAATGAGAACCCCCACTAGGCCCACCAAGTGATCATGAAAAAGGGACTGTGCTGGAGTGCTCTCTCCACCTAATCATCCAGAGCCAGGGCAGGTGAGAAGCCACAGGACAGATCCTCAAATAGGTTCAGGACCCAGTGGAAGACAGACCAAGGTGTGAGAATCAGAGAAGGAGCTGAACAAACACAGCGGGAAGCTTGAGGGAATTGGACTGTGCTATCGTCTGAATGTTTGTGTTCCCCCAAATTCATATGTTGCCATCTTATCCATAAAGTGAGGGTGTTTGGAGGTGGGGTTTCCCAGAGGTTAATTATGAGGGCAGAGCCTTCATGAATGGAATTAGTGCCCTCATAAAAGAAGCCTGACAGTTTCCTTGTCTTTTCTGCCATATGAACATGGAGCAAGAAGATTATGAATCAGTGTGCAGGTCTTCACCAAACATCATGAGCATCTTTATCTTGGACTTCCCAGTCTCCAGAACTGTGAGAGATAAATTTCTGTTGTTTATAAGCCACCTGGTCTATGGTATTTTATTATACAATCAAAATTAACTAAGATAACCTGAAATGGAATATAATATGTTCAAGAAAGGAGCACATATTCTGGATGCAAGAATCCAGCTGTTGATCATTTAACACTCTTGCCATATCCCAGCTCACTTCTAGGGGAAAAATTGTGGACTTATTTTGGAAATTATTAAATATTAGACTTAAAAATCTGGAATTATTTGATACTCCATAGGGAGCCTAAAATGGCTCCTGTTGTAATTTGGGTGTTGACTGAGAGCAGTGGAGGGATGAGTGGAGCAGGAGGATCTGCAGTTAGAAAATGCTTTTTAGAGAACGTGATGGAAGATTTTATGGGTGATATTGAAAACARGCAGACAGGAAATATTACAAAGAAGGAATCATATTTTTGTTCCATGCTAGAGATGGGGAAAGAAGAGACAAAGTTGATACCAAATTTTTGAATGAGAAAGGGAGAATAGCGGCTATAATTTTGAGAAAAATAGAGGTCTGAGAGGGAACCATCTTTGGAAGAAAGACGGGTCCAGAAACCGTAATACAAGTTGCTTGAGATACTGGTAGATCWTGTGGATGGGAAGATGAGGGACTGAATACAGTGATGCAGATTTGAGAACTTATCCACTTAAAAGTGAGAGGAGAAGCACTGCCTAAGGAAGTGAGAACACCAGAATAGGTATGTGAGCCATGGCGTACATGGCCATGTGTGACCACTTTGAGGCACATTAGAAAGAAGTAGAGTCAGAGGAGAGAGCTCAGCAAGTCAGAACGATGTTGTCACRGATATAAAGGCAGGGGAGGGCATGCCTCAAATGCTACTGCAAAACTAAGAACAATGACAACATTGCCACCGTTTATGGGAGGTCCCCAAAGAGCTTTTGGCAGAGTAAATGTGGCATTTCAGCTGTGGGACCTTGAGCCATTTGAAATGTGGCATTTGCTCAGAGGGAGGGGAAAGCTGTTAAGCACGTAGTGCAAGACGGGCAGGCCTGTGACCTGGCTGAGAGAATGTGACCATCAGCTTTCTGCAGAAAAGCAACTTGTGAATAAAAGAAGGAGTCTGGAAAATTCAGGGGCTCCTTCTGGCTTTCAGGTGGGAAAGAAGAGSCAGATCACAAGTGGAATAGGACTATGTGAAAAAAAGATCCCAGCGTCAGCAATATCCGGCTTCCTATCTGCCAGCTTGCTGTGTAATGAAGTGGAGCTCAGTTCCTGGGAAGAGAAAAGAAGGGCTTGGCTAGTTCAGTGAGCTACCTATGCAAACTCAGCCCTGGCAGCAGGGATATGTCTGGCTGGAGGGACACAATCCCTTCTTGGCCTTCAGTGTTATGGAGTATGGTTCCTGGGAATATTGTTATTAAAGCGGGAACATTTGTGGGATAGGTTTAATGCTCTCCATCCCTGTGAAGTTATTTGGAAATATTCCTTTAAGAGAAAACAATGCACACTGGCACAGAAAAAGMGACCCTCCCCCACTGCTTTTAATGCTGCTATTTAAAGATCCTCTTTCAGGCTCCAGAGCTACATCCAGATGAGTGACTTTGAGAGAAGACATGTGCTGAGCAGAAAGAATGGTGRGTGGAGGCTATTCTGGAGAAGTTTGGCAGTTGAAAGAAGGAGAGAGACAAACAGAGCCAAATGAACCTTTCATTGTGTATCTGGGGAAATTATTCCCACTGAGATAA